GAGAGCTTGTGGTGGCATGAGATAGGATGGGGGAGGAGAAACCGAGGAAGAGATCGGGGCCGTTGAGTAAGGGTAGGATATCAATGCTTTTCAAATTTTTAATGAATTAACGTTGTCCGCATGCAGAATTTTCTGACTCAAGTTGTGCATTCGTTTGCTTTGTAAGGTGAATTAAACTAAGAGAGCAACAACGACTAATAAAGTCTTGATCAAACCTCCTTAGATTAGATTAGATTAGATTAGATTATAGGCGGGGTTCAGACCTCAAACCTTCAAGGCTTCAACCAAAAAAAAAAAATTTAAGAATAGTATTATAGCATTTTTTTGATTTAGTTAAATCTGTATACTCACTAATCTCTAACACATGCCTCCTTAAACTTTCCTTCCCCTTAAATAAGAATAGAATAGATTATACAATGTATCGTTACTGGCACGACAAAAAACGCAGCCCCCAATTTGTTTGGTGAGATTTGCGTCTGCATGACATAAATTTTTGTTTGCAGCTCTTGGAATATTTGCTATGCATTTCATCAATCAACTAACTAACGGGTCTTGTCTTGAAAGAATGGCTCTAAAATTTTAATAGACCAAACATAAGTGGTCGTTGTAGGAGAAAAGAGAGAACATAGGTGGAGTCGGCGAAATGTTTTAAGAACAAATCTAGGGATAGTTTTCGCATCCTGTACAAATTCAACCTCATTGACTAGAAAAAGTTGAGCCGCCAGACTCCACCTACCTCCGTATCCAATCCACCATTTCTGTTATTGTTTTGGCAACCCTTCAATGACTTAGAGGCCATTCAGAGGTTGCTGAGCTATATATATATATATGCGTAGGGCAAAAAAAAAAAAATGGGTGGGGGGTTAGAGTATATGTCATTGGTTCTGTGACCTCAGTCCTCTATAGCCGAAAGTCAAGCATCTTCTATCTCTTAGAATAAAACACCTAGAAGGCTAGAACCAATACGCAATAAGTGACGCAATAACTCATGTGGGCTTTTGGGCATACAAGTGACGCAATAATAAGACAACAAAAGTAGAAGATGATGATCTTCTTCAACAAATTTGCAACCAAATAAGAAAACCTCAAAGCACCCGACCCGAGGACAAAATTTTCATAAATGATGAATAGGATCGATGTTCAACACAACAATGAGGCTAATCCCTTTAGCGGGCGTGTAGACAAGCAAAACAAGCCCTAATATCAAAAGAAAGTACGAAAGTTAGAGAACATATTGCATGAAAACAAATAATAATAATAATAATAAAAGAGTACCCCAAAAAAGGCTGGATTTTGACATGAAAAATTCTTGGCACCCTGGAGACTAGAAGTTTGCTACTCAAAAGTCAGCTTCAGATTAAACTTCTGCATATATGCTCATCGTGCGCAAGTCTAGCACGGAGTCTGAAGGGCAAAAGCTTGTTCAAACAAGGAATGGCAGCTAGTAATTTATTTTTAAACGACAAAGGATGAATATAACATCAAGAAAAATACACCAAATCTATACTCGTCAAATGCTGAAAAGTTGACTTCTAAATTTTCAGATGTATCCATGGTACATTACAAATTATGTTGTAAGAACAGGTGTTCTCGAAAGTTCTGAAGTCCTTGTGATGGGGATAATGGAAGGAGAGATGACTAAAACGTTGATTTTACCACCAGACGATTTGATTCATTGTCATTCAGCCTCAGACAACAAATTGGTTCTATAATTACAAAGCTACAAGGAAACAAAGCACCCCTGCATTGATTTCTAGGGAATCAGTATAAACTTACATCAGTTTGACTCGTTTACAGTTTGAAGCCAAATTTCGGATCCCTCGGCCAGTTACAGCATATGGAGCAGATGCTGATCGAATAGAAGGTGACTTGTCAATGTGGGCATAGCGTCCATTGCCATTCCAGTACAAAATGATACGATTTGTACAAGCATGTGACCAACTATCACCTGCCCAGCAAGATTTAGGAACTCAGAAAAGGATATGTCCCTGATGACCAGAATCTGGAATCAGGTTGGATGAAAGACAAAGAGGGAGGAAAAATTAACTATAAAAACAACAGTAGCAGAGCACCCAAGGAAAGACAAGTATAAGAAAATTATTCTTAAAGAAGACAGATTCTTACCTAGAGCAAGAGTCAGTTGAAATGAACCTCCCGAATACTTGGTGGTTACTTGATTCAACAAAATAACCTGTATTATGATGTCCTCTGGTCATTAGAGTGCACAAACATGAAGTAATGCCATTCAGTTGGATAAGAAGGAGACAGCTTAAAGAATATGAGAAGGAAAAGAGATAGTCTAATTCTTACCGCTAGAGTAAATTTCTTTGCAAGTTTCATCAACTTCAAGGCCATTCCACCAAGTAATCGAGTTCTAAGTGCCATGTCATCAAAATCTTGACGGAAGTGAAAAGTAATGCTGTCAACAATAACAACCTTGATCTGTGACAGTAGAGGAATGTCAATAATTTACAACGAAAATTTGCATAATGCAAGCTCTCAATGACATCACCAACATCATTAAAAGAAAAGAAAAAAAAGAACTTAAATACTACACCTACATCTTTATGCTCTGAAATGAACTTCTCCAAGTAATTTATCACGGCGATTTGCTCTGTGTAACTGCAAATGCGAAAGTAGTATATATTGGCAAGAAAATCATTTGCCTGCAGATTTACTTGACGGGCTGGCAAATCTTTACGTAGAAAGCTATCATATTCTTGCATGTCTTTGATGCATGCTTCAGCAACTTGCTGAACACGTTCAACCATAAAGCTGCCTTCTGTATCTAAAAAAAGAACTCATAGAATCTTCAGTTGAAATGCCTTTGGAGAAGCAGTAGCAGATTTAGTCACACCACCATGAGTATTTTGTGTACCGTACTTACCAATATAAACTGCTTTCCCTGCAAGGCCACCATATTCAAGTGGAATTTGAACATTGATGGCAAGTTGAATACTGCATGCTAGTATATGTCTTAATAAGAACCAAAAGGAACAGAACAAAATTTGTCAATCAACTGTAAACAGGAACAAATTCTTACCCAAGTTGTGTTTTACCAATTCCTGGCACTCCACCTGACAAAATAGAAAGTGATAAAGCTTGAGATTGTCAGCAATTTGTAGATGTCCTCTGTCTCGTTCTCTCTCTCTCTCTCTCAATGAAAGTGTTTAAGGTACCAAACATGGTAGGAACCACCATAGAGATGATAAAAGACTAACCAATTTCAGTAACTTCTTTGCAACTTATTCCTCCACCTAGGATGTCATCAAGATCTGCACATGATGTGGTAATTCTTCTGCATGATTCCTCCTCATGCAACATGTCCCAGGCGGTCTGTGCCCCTAAACAAGAAGAAAAAATTAAGATTCAGTTAGCCGAATTTTGTGCATCCCTTGTAAGAGGCCGCATCTAGCAGACAAAAGAAATATCTTACACAACAAGATCTATGGTTAACAAATTCCTTCATTCACAATCCTCAGTAAACAAAATTTACACACACACAATCGGTGATACACTTTTACAACTTACTGTGTTGGCATGCCAGTAAAATGGTAGAAAAACAAGAAGATATTCACATATTCACCTAAAAAAAATCTCAAGTACAACAAAAGTGCTAATTCGGCATAGTAGGTGAATCTTCAGACTATATATTCCATAACGCGAAATGTAACAAAGCAAGAAAAAACTAAACAAGCCCAGCATATCACTGTAGATTTGCCCTCCTTAAAAATAATAAAAATAAAAATTTTGTAGCTCCACGAAACGGATACATCACACCTATTTGGTAAAAGCAAAAGGAAAAGATTACCAAGTACAATCCCTTTATGATGATAGTCATGACTCATGCATTAGTGAAGTAAAACAAATAGAACAACTCCACAGCAACATCAAATTCCACAGCAACATCAAAGGCCCCCCTCAAAAAAAAAATCACAATAATAATATATAATCAGCATTGATAAATTACTCAAACCATCAACAATAGAATGGTGACTTGGAATGGTTCTCTCCGGTCCACCCCTTTGGGATGCCACCTTCAAAATCCCAGTAGCCTCGTTCTCTGAAATCCCCAAATCTAGCCATTAAACAAGAGAAACCCGTCAGGGGAAATGTTATAAAATATTCAAAAATTTAACTCACACTCATTTAGCGCAAAGATTAGCTATTATCCAACAATGAGATGTATTTGCAATCAAATACGAGTACACAAGAAAAAAGAGAATAGATGACATAACAGCTCTAGTAATACCAACAAGAAGGCATACCACGGGCGAGGTGGGCGGCGAGATAGAGCTGAGGGAGGAGATAGAAATGTAGCCGGCGGATATCAACTTTGCTCTATGCGAAGCTGAAATTGGGAGACTCGATACTTCCATTCTCTCTCAAATTTGTCTCAGTGTGTGACTGTGTGTTTTTGTTTAGAAGCTTTTCGCGGTTTTTGTTCAATTGAGAATCTGTTCAAAGGGTTTCAATTTCAATTCAAGTGCTGCTGCAAAGGAAGCATTCACAATACTTAAACGCTGCGTTTCAGAAACATTATAAAAGTTTCTTCGGCCCAGAGACTCTACCAAGCTGGCCCGAATCCGTTGAACTCGTCTTAATTAGAGAAAGTTCTGGTTTGCTGTAAAAGGTTGATATTGATTTTGTTTCCTATCGTTCGGCCGCTGCTACATACGCGCATCGCAGCAGAAGGCTTATTTCATTGGGCCCGAGTTTTATTCACTCTTGAGTCTTGACCAGTTTGAATTCATTCATCATTTAGGGTCCGTTTGGTTGGACTGACAATATTTTCCCTAGGAAAATATTTTCCATCGAAGCCACTTTCCTGAAAAATCAATTCCTTCCCCAAAATTTTCCAGTGTTTGGTTATTAAGTGAAAATATTTTCCAAATTCCTTTTTTATAATTTTTCAGTGTTTGGTTTGTCAATCAAAAACCTTATTCATGGTACAGAATTAGAACTATTGGTACGTAAAAGCACCCTAATCAAGTCTAGAGTGACTCAAATCCCTGCTTTAAATGTTGTCGGCCTCAGTTGGATCAAAAATCTGGAACAATTCAATACATACAGAGGCAAATATATGCCAAAATATAAAATATTGCTCAACAAAAACAAAAATCACATCTCCAAATGGAAAATGGTCCCAAAAATATCAGTTGCCCAGGCAGTAAATCATGGTTACATCATTAATAGCACTGAAGATTATGTCCTTAATAGCAGAGATCTTCTGATCTGTGACCGATTGTGGAGAGATGTATCCCCTATCAATCTGCATGTCAAAAAGAATACTAACCAAGTCATATTTAAATCACAATTATCAAGTAAACAAAACGCAAAGCAGGGGAAAAAGATTTTCATATCAAGACTTGGGAAAGGCATGGGGAAGCAGCTCGAACAGACCTCCATTCCTTCCTCCACATTGACTGTAGTCTCAAAGGAAGAGGATGACTCAATGGACAAGACACCATCAGGTCCAACCTTGTCAATTGCATCAGCAACCATGATTCCAATAGTTTCATCATTTCCAGCAGAGATAGTAGCAATGGCTGCATATAGAGGAAGAAATACATCAATACGAATTTCTCTGGTGACATCAAACTAGGAACTAAATGGACAATACATATGGATCCACATCATAAGAGCCAAAAGATATACCTTTGATATCTTCACGACCTTTAACTGGCCTGCCCTTTTTCTCTAGCTCATCAATCAAACCTTGTGCAGTGGTTTTTGGGCATGAAGAATGAGAATCATGGGACAATAACTTCACTCATCCATGGTTATAACAGGCAATGATAAATTTTTAGGATTGTTATCTCTGCAGAGCACTCCCTGCAACGGTATTAGCATATAGATACAGGGGCTGCTAAGACGTGGACGTATCAAAGAGCGGCAGAAATAATTAGACACGATACAAAATGAACAAAAACATTTAATAGCTCCAATGCCTCTCACGCAAACAGCTTTTCAGTACCGATAGTTAATATTTGGATGCCAGTACAACCATAAATAATACAAAACCATGACAGAAAAGGATGACCATATTCAATATTACAGTTGAGACGAGATTTTACAAGAGCGAAATCTCAAATGTTAAAAAGTTACAGCTCAACTGAGCTTGAAAGTGCCCTGCGGGTACTAACATAAGCCTCCACTAGCAAGAAACTGCTGACTGAGAGTTTCATTTCAAGGCAGATATCTAGTTTAATATATACACTTCAGAAAGATCTGTATTCAAGTTCAAAATTCTTCGATCAACTGAGTTCCTAGCTAACTAACTTACATCCTTTCGTCGGTCTATTTGTGCAAATAAACTAGCCTACTGTGTGACTAAGAAGCTACTAACCAGTTTCATGTCTTAAATATCCATCTTGAGTACAATATTGTTGACATTGCTCTCCTGTAATTTCTCCAGCGCAACAACCTCAGCCCGATAAGCTGCTGCTGCAGCCGCTGTCCTTGCCCTCTCTCCTTGAGGAAGTTCACATGCTTCGCTGAGAGAACCCAATCTCAACTCAGCAGGTGGAATGAAACACTCTCCCGACAGACCAGGAGCATTAAAGGCTACTTCCTCGATGGTCCATGCTTCTTCCATCCTGGTTTTGGTATGACTCATTGCTGTATCCCGAACCTGAAAAGGATAACCACTGATCGCCCAGAGTGAGCAATCACGATCCCCTCAACAGGCTCACCAGATTGTAAGAAAACACTACCCTACCCTACCCTACCCGGATTCTGATTCCAAGAATCATAAAACCCCCAAAACTCAGCAGCCAAATTAATTCATTAGCATCAATCAAATCAGATTTAACACTAATCAGATAAGAACAAACTAAAACAAAAGCAATCCACAAATATTCATTCAAATCCAACTTCAAGAATCTACACCAGTAATTCTAGACAATTTTTCAAAAAAAGGGAAAAGGGAAAAAAAACTAATAAGAGATCATCATACCTCTGGAAATACTTAAGGAGTCTTCACCTTTGTTGAAAATGCTATTGTAGGAACGGGAATGAGATGTCGCTGCCAGAGTGGGATGAGCCGTTGATATTGGCCGCCGTAGTTGGAGATGCCGCCGGCGAAGAAGGGATTTGTTTGCTGATGAGATGTCGCTGGAGATGGTTTGTTATCACTGCCCCGAAGAAGAGACTGGTCTTTCATCGATGGTTCCTTGCTTGAGGCTGTGAAAAGAAGACTGCTTTTACGAGAGTGAAGTTATTTTCCTCTCGTAAGTGCAACTTATTTTTCTCTCAGAAATTATTTTTCTAAATTAATTGACAACCAAATAATCAAAAATAAGGAAAATGTTTTCCAAAAAACCTTTTTCATCCAAACAAACAGACCTAAAATTGTTGTTCATATGGGCTCTTTTTATTTAGTTAACAAGAATCATAATCATATTAGTAATAGAATTAGTTCATATGCTTTAAGCATCATTCAAAACGAGAAATTTGAATTTCTTAGTATCAGCATCATTCAAAACGAGAAATTTGAATTTCTTAGTATCGAAATACACTGATTGTATAATTTCATCGAACCTTTACTAGAAACTGTAAAGCTTTTGTTAATTTATAAAATCACTTACCGTTCCGAAAAAAAAAATCATTTCCAGCGAACATGTCTTTTTCTTCTTTGAACACAATTATTCGTTCGTATACGTCCACAGAATCCCTGAACAGTTTAAAATACTCAAAGGTTGTCTCGACAACTTTGCTGATGCTAGATGACTCTGTTTCTTCTGCAAAAGCTGGGAAGCTTTCTATTCCTTTGCTGTTAGAGTACAAATACTTGATGGTATATTGGTATTGATAACATAACGCACTCTAGCAATATCAATTCCCAATGCATATGTCAACCCGGTAAGGTATTCTGTAGCGTACAAGAACTAAACAAACTGATATTGAACTTGGCAGAATTATCTCTAATGCATGCGTTGCAGTTTTAGATTTCCAGCGTAGCTAAAATGCAATTTTCATCTCTAAGTAAGTGAACGTTTGATCAATTGATACAACTGCACATGGGGGAAAATTGCACTCTACAAACCAAAATTTATGAAGCATTATGCTTGTGCATGTACAGAAACACAGTGCAGATAACTGAATAAACTCTTTTACGTCCTGAGATGAAATAAGACCAAGTTGTTTAAATTGCAGAGATCCGGGGCTTGTGTGGATTTATATGGTACGAGTGTTAGCTAGTTAATTGAGGGCATAAAAGCACAATACCAAGAAATGTTGATGGTCAAGAGGATTTCATTTTCTTCATGAAGTCTTCAACCCTTGTAGCAGCATCATGCTCTTGTTTTGTCTAAGTTCATCCAGGAGCAAGCGACAGGTAACATATCGAGGGGTTATGTCTTGAGCTATCATTTTCGTGAAGTAATTATATGCCTCTTCAGGTTTATTTACTTTGCACAGCCCATGGACCAGAAGTGCATAAGTTGACAAATCAAAACTCAGATGATGCTTGCTAGACATCTCATCCAGCAGCATACTCAAGCGATCATCTTTGTTTCCACCTTTAAAGCATGCCTTGAGCAGAGGAAAATATGTCTGCACTTCAGGCTTACAATAAGTCGACTTTTCCATATCCCTGAGAAACTCCAACGCCAATTCTTCTCGTTCCTGCTGACAAAGCATTGAAATCATTGTATTGTACGTTGATGTACTTGGGCAACCCCCATCTGGGGCATTTCTACCTTGAAAACATGAATAGCATCACTAATTCGTCCAGCCCTGCCTAAAGTATAAAGAAAAGCATTGTAGAACAGTGTATCAGCTTTACATCCAACAGATTTCATTCTATCAATTATCCGCAAGGATTCCTCAAGTGCCCCAGACTTCGTTAATGAATGCATGATTGTGGTGAAAGTCACAACATTTGGGGTGCACTTTTGATCTTTCATTTCATCAAGCAGCTCATACACCCTACTGAAGTTAAATTGATGGCAGTAGAACTGAATAATGGTTGAGTAGCTGATAACAGTGGGCCGAAAACCATGACCTTTCATCTCTTCAATTGTCCAGTGTGCCTCTTCGACCCTATTAATTTTGCACCAACCATGAATAAATATGTTAAAAGTACGAGCATCTGGGGGGATGTGCGATTTAAGCTTCAAGAAAATTTCCCGAGCCTGCCCAACTTTTTTCTCTTTGCAAAGTGTGTCAAATAACAAATTCATGGATTCTGTATTCTTCTGCAACCCGAACTTTTCCAACTCATCAAATATCCTTACAGCATCTTCCCACTCTCCTGCACCAGCAAATCTTCTCATAACCTTTGCTATGGTACTAAGCGAGACAAGATGAGCCATGTTCATTTCATCTACAAAAGCACACATCTTTTCCATCTGTTTCATTCTTCCCAATGTGTCCACCACTTTATCATATAAATTTGGCAAGGGCTTATAGCCTCGATGTAATTCTGCCCATCTGAAAACACCCAATGCAGACTTCCAATCATCCTTTAACCTGTGCAGCAGCCTATTAATAAGTTCATCAGTTATCTTTGTAGCATCACAAGCAGGGTCTTGCATGAGAACCTGAAAAACCTCATCTTCACTGTTTACACCATTAATTTTATGCATAAGAAGATGAAAATCGAAATCTCTTTTCAAATCTATGCATTCTTGTCCCTGATCAAAATCCCTTTCTCGAATGAAATGGTACTGCCTCACCAGAGAGTGACTACAGAAGGCAGAAAAACAGCAAAGGTAATTTCTAAATATAACATGGGAAGTGGCTTGGTTTACCGTTGCAAGTAATATATTCTTCCTGGAAATGGTGCTAGACATAGAATATCACGAAGAAACGTGAAAAATTGTCTTTCTGCTTGTTCAATCCAGCAACCCTGCACACCAAGAAATTAGTTATTTAATGATCCTCATTTCTTATAATCTGAATACTTATCAAATCATACCACAAACAAGAATATTCACGAATTTATCAATCAAAGTGTACAATTTAACCAAAAAATGTACAATCAACGACATGCCATTGCCAGCCGAATAAGGTGCACATTTGCTATATGTAAAAGAGAAGGGAAATGGAAAAACAAGAAATGACCAACTTTAAAAAGTGTATATATATTCCGTAGAATGCTAAAATAAAAACATGAAAACAGTGATTAGCAACTTGTTCTTTCTAATGGTTAAACCTAAAACTTCTTACGCGCCAAAGAAACCACAAGGAAAATGCAGGCATTTAAGGTGACATTTCCACGCCGGAAAACAATAAGCAATGCTTATTATTCAGCAAAAGTGGTAAACATCTGAAAAGAAAACACAATAATGCCGAAGAAATTTCAGATTTATTATTTCTGTGGACTAACTACAGATATCCTCCAAAGTAACAATCCATAAACGAAAAGAGAAAATTTGCAGCCATTTCCTTACGAAAACTTGATTAGGACAGCTTGTTAGCAAAGCTAATAACAAGCCAGAAGTGGAAGAGTAAATTCATTAATGAAAATGCAATGGAAGAACGGAGGGATTACAACCCGTAAAGATCACATTTTTCAGGCACTGGGGTTGATACAGAAGCTAAAATAAGTATACAAGCTGTTTGATCATATGCCTCGGACCAATAAAATTGGCGAGCGCATGAACTATCACTGACACTAAGCTGGCAAAAACTGACAGCTTTGAAAAATTTAAGCTCGAAAAGTAAAGAGCGGCGGCTTCAGACAGTAGTTTATTCAATCGAACGACAGGAAAAAAAAAAAAAGAAAGGAAAACCGCACTTCATGGCAATTACGGTTTGCAGAATTGCAGCTACAGCCACAGCCCCAGAGAAGCAGAGGCAATGACGTCTGAAAACTTCAATTAGTATACCTTGGGTGAAAAGGGAACTACGTCTCCGTAGGGAATGACAACGGACGGATTGCCGGCGGTCGCCCGAACTGTACCTTCGGTGAGGAAATGAGGAAGAGTATATTTGTTTCTTGATGGGAATAGAATGTATTTGGGACGAACATAAATAAAATTTACACACACAGCAAAGTATTAAGGGCAAAAAGCCTTCTCGAATTTTAACAATTTTATATTTCTAACTCTTCGACTATTAGTTGTACATTTTTTTTGCCCTTGAATTATTAAAAATGTACATGTACATCGACGTACAAGGTTAAATGGAAAGAAAAAGATTTTCTATCGAAATAGTAGAAAGAGCAACTTCAAATTAGAATTTTAAACTTTTCACACTCCAAGGAATATTTTGGTATAAAATTTAAAATAATTGGTAAATTAGTGATAGATCTGCTAATTTTATTCAGTGAGATTCATTAAAAATAGAGCCAAATTTGAAATCTACATGAAATCGAAGGCTTGGAATGTAATTTGATCCAATTTTGACAATGATAATGATATTGAATAATTATAGTTGTCAACAAACTTGATTTGAGAAGGAATAATGTCAAAATGACTTTATTTTGGGCTAGTCTCAATATTTTGATATAAAATTTAAAAGAAATGGTGAATGACAAGTAAAATAATTGATAAATCTACTACTCTTTATCTAATGAGATTCAATAAAAATGGAGTGCAAATTTGAAATCTATACGAAAATCGAAGGTTTTGAATGCAATTTGATCAAATTTTGACAAGCCAGTGAAGAGTTGCACTTGATTTGTACGAGAAAGGAGAATATATATATTAAAAAAAAAACATCGTTTATGAGATAGTTTCGTTAGAATTATCGGGTTCAAATTTACGAGAGGACTATAAATACACGCTTTTAATAGTTTATAGGCTAAAAATATGCAAATAATAGTTAGAGGACTAAAATTATAAAATAGTTGAAGATTTTGAGAGCCAAATGGACTTTTTACCCAAGTATTAATGTACATCATATGACGTAAAACTAAACTGCACAATCGTGCAAAAACATTTACCTGCTCCAAATCCATAATTTTATAATACTCATGCTAAAGTTGACATCTCCTTTATTCGTACTTAAAAGGATATTTTTTCTAATGAGCTACTTGGGCCTTAAAAGATACTAGATAAAAGGAACATACACATGCATATTGTTTAATTTTCTATTTTACAATTACCTTTTCTAGCATTTTTTAGCCAAATAATTTTTTTGGTATAACTATACATTTGCAAATGAAAATTTGCAAATATGATGCAGCATATCATCCACTGCACGAATTGTTGAAGAGACCTTGTTTGGATAGTCATTTTCCGTCGGAAAATCACGTCGTTTTTCGTGATCACATTTCCCTATTACCTTTTTTCCTTACATACGTCAAATCGCTACAGTAATTTTTCTAAAAAAAAATCCTAGAAAATGCAATCCAAACACTACCTTTGTCTAATCTCTAACATTTTGGCCGCACAGCATTGCTCTATAATTAAAAAGACCTTCTAGGTCCTGTACAATCCAAAGATAGAAGGAAGAGTGTAATAGCTCACTTAACAGAAAATTGGCTTATGTTCATTCTATCTAAGTCTAAACACTGGTACACAATGAGCATTGAATAACTTATGCCGTGCTCTAGAAAAATGTTCCTTGAGCAGAAAATCTTCTAGGGTATCAGCGAATCCACACATTTATATTGACAAGGGAATACCAAGAACTGTCCCCGCAGAGCCAGTTTCTTGATAAAATTTGAAAACTCTTACTTGATGCAAACGTTCAGCTGGCGACAGTGTGGAGTTGCAAGCTATATCCTTCAAAAACATTAGGGCTTCAGCCATGACATCATTCATTTGAGAAAGCACCAGTAACCTTCACACTGTGGGCTTTGGCTGTCCTAACAGAGATGCCTGAACGAGAGATGTCAGCGACGGATGAATCCGAGCCTTTCTCATTGATCGGGCATCACTTCTTCCTTCCGCATACTCCTCACCTAATGGCCACCTTGGCCGCAAATCAAGCTGTTTCATGCACGACATTCGTCAACATATTACTATCCAAAAAAAGATAGAAGCATAGATTCTTGCTACTTTTCAAAATGAAAATCCTCAAGACCACATGAAAACAAAAGCAATGAACCCAACCACCTGTAGATACTACATTTCCAACATAATTCTTTCAAAAAATGGAGTTCCTCCAATCTCCACTTAAGGTAGCCTGATCCCTTAATTTGTAATCAGTTCACGTTTAAACATGCAATTCATTTGTCCAGATTAACTAAATAGAGGAATTTTGAGGATTGCTTTACAAACCACGTTAACCAAACCTGAAGTAACACATTTGCCCAATTCTTTGCTTATTCAAAGTTCAAGAGAGCAGAAAATGGAAATTGACTAAGCTAATTAGCATTACGGCAGCAAGTCTGATCCATGCGACCACTTAACTTTTTCTCCATCAACTAATAGGTTTTGGAAACCCATATGAAGTGAGAAGTCATGAATTAATCAACTTCTTCTTTCATATGAGAAAAGAGGCAGTAAAGACGAAAAATATAGAGCTTACTCTTCTATTAGAGATATAGCATCCAAATCAAACAAATTCTAGCCAAAAAAATCTTTAAAAATCCAAATGAAAGCACCAAAATGACAAAACCTGGGCATCTTCAGGTTCATTGGCAGGTGGTGGAGGATCATATCTTCCTACCCGGAAATGTTCCACGCCGGTCCAAGCAATCATTACACCTTTCAGAACAAGCCAACATTATTCTTCAAGACAAGGCCCAACGTACTAGCTTTTCAAAGTTCAAATAATTTAGGGTTAAAAACAAAAAAGTCCCCTGTGATATACCTAATATACAGAAAAGGCCCACATGGTTTCAAAACATACAAAACGACACCTCATGTTTTGAACTAAATTATAAACTAACAGAATTTGTTAAACTTAACGAAATGACAATTTCGCCTGTTAAACTTAACGAAATGACAATTTCGCCTGTTAAACTTACCGGATTCTGTTAAGTTTACCGTTAGCTTTACCGAATTCAGTTAAATTTTCATTAAGTTTACCGGATAACGATTTCGTCTGTTAAACTTACGGGATTCTGTTAAGTTTACCATTAACTTTACCGAATTCCATTAAATTTTCCGTTCAGTTTACCGGATTCCATTAAGTTTAACGAATTATATTAGTTTACAATTTAGTTCAAAACATGAGGTGTCGTTTTGTATGTTTTGAAACCATAGGGGGTTTTTCTGTGTATTAGGTATATTACAGGGGATTTTTTTGTTTTTAACCCAATAATTTAACATTACCAAGATTTGGGCAACTTTTCCACAGATGCAAATGAACCCCTACCAGGCCTAAAACAAATTAATTATGTTCTCAATGATGGGTAGATATCTAACAGATTACCACCAGAAATTGAATGCCGATGCAGCTATTCAATTGAGACTAGCCTATTCACTTTATTTTAAATTGCAAAAGTATTGTCTGTAATGAGCACTTGGATCCATCCTTATGTTGTAGTACACGAGCTTGAACCACAGAAACCACACACAATCTATCTACAAGTTATTTGTCCGAAGTTTGTATTTTTCAACTGCCAGTTATTAAAATCAAGTACCTCTGCAAATTAATCACTTTTGCATTTTCTCAATGTTAACTGAATTAGCAGGAAAAACACTTAGCACCTTACCATTATCAGTACAGAGGCTAGGAGGAGGGCACAAAAGTTGCAGGGCATTCCTTTCCACTACCTGATTAAGGCGAGAGCGGACAAACTTGTTTGAAGCAACACCTCCGGAAGCTACCTACGATGGGAGTATAAAGAAATTGCTCTGAGACAATATTCAAACCAATATAAAGCAACAAAGCGCATGAAGTCTAGAATTCGAGAGTACAACAGCGTGGAAGCCAATTGGGAATCTTATTTCACGCACCAAATACTTCACAGAAGGCTCAATTTTCAATGCCCATTCAATTGCTCGTTGGCATTTTTCCTCTAAATGTAATACTGCAACTCGCTGCACAAAGATACTTCGCCAATGTTTAAAAAAGAGTAAAGCAATAAAGAAGAAGATGCTCATTGAACACTATTGTTATATTATATTTAAAGAAAGCAGACATGTGGAACTATATGTTAAAACTTGATTTTATTTTCTTTTCATGAAATAAATGCCAAGACCATTATCACCTGGAAAGAGGCAGCAATATTTGCCCTTGCACCTCTATCTTCACTACTAGCTGAAGAAATGGGGATTTCAGCATTGCTGCATGCACAACGTCCAAGGAACAAAATAAGGTCAGAGGTGATGGAGAGAAGAGGAACTTTGAACATCTAAATGTTGAAATGATTGATTGCTGGGTTAACCAACAATAGCTGCAGGGACAGAAATTGTTCCAACTACACGATTAATACTTTTTCCAAGCATATTCAACATGATTGACACAGCTAGAAAAGAAGATTCTTTTAGATCTTTTGGCATATTTTCCCAGATATGCTATAGTCCACAGCTAATATTTCAGCATTTTATATCCAAATAGAAGATTCAAAAGGAAGAATCTGGGACAAGACGTGACCTTCTTATCAACAGCAATAAAGACAATATTTCTTCATGGGAAAAACAATGTTTTTCATAGGCTAAAAGCACCTACATATTCTGTGCTTCGATTTCCAACCTCACTTGATTCTTTAGCCCTGCATATGAGAAGTTGCAGTCTTTGTGTTGTTTCATAGGAACCTAACAAACAACCACTTCAAAACCTGAGCTCAATATGAAGATCAAATTCTGGTCAAACTGTTTCAAAAGAAAACAAATGACACTTGACATAAAATTTCTCCAAACTTACTCTGAATTTGACTGCTTCTGCATCTCCCTCATGAGCTAACTCCTCAATTGCAGGCCCTCCACTCCTCCTCATATCAAGACCAAGCCATTTTGCAGTCTTGTCATATGCCTCCCCAATTGCATCATCAACTGTGGTACCAAGTTGTATGTAATGGCCAAGATCCCGGGCAAGAACTAAAAGGTTGTGTCCTCCTAATGATCAAAATGTTAAAAGTGCATTGACTTAATAAGTTCTTCCCCCCAAA